TACAGATAATCACTTCCATAGCGTTCGTATTCATTTTATATATACTTTCTATAGGGAAACAATTTTACAAATTATAAACGTTTCCATAGAGATTTTATATATATTTTATATATATTTTCTATAGACTAATAAAAATTACAGTTCTTAAAATGACTATTTAGAATATTATACAGTTCTACAGAATATACTATAAATACATAAATTTATATTGAAATTTCATATATGTTATACTCTATATAGATTTTATATGTTCCTATAGAGATAATCCCTATAAAATTGTTATAATACATTAAAAAAAATACAGGTAAGGACTATAATTTTTTATAGAATAAATATAGAAATTGTATAGTTTTATTATAGAGAACTTGTCATATCATTTGTATAGAATATTCTATAGAATTTCTATAGAATATGCAAGATGTAAAACATGTTGGTAGGACTATACTGGTCAGACACGTATGTGTCAATAAAATATTGAATTAAACAAAAAAAAAATTAAAAACATAGAAATTACATTAAATATGTGTATATAGTATGTTATAGAATTCTATAGAAACTAGTTCCTCTATAGAACAATTTTATAGAAAATACTAATTTCTGTAGAAATTGATTAGTCTCTATAGAAGGTCTATAAAGTTCTATAGAATTTTTATGTATGGGCAGGCATAGCTAATTTAGGCCTCCCTAGGCCTACTGCTGTCTGTCTCAGTCAGTCTGTCGGCCTAGGAGGCCTAGTAGTAGTAGTAGGAGTACTAGTTTTTAGGGCCTAGCCCTATGCTCAGCTAGGCCCTAGCTACCTACTCTACTACTACTAGGTTAGGGCATAGGCCTAGGCCCTGCCAATTATTATTATTATTATTATTGATTTTTTTCCCGATTTTTTTTACTTTTAATTAGTGTACATAAATTATTTTGTCCAATGTATTTTAAAGTTTTATTTATTTGAATGTCTGCTGCTTTGATAATGTTTCCCCATTTTATTATTGAATTTCTTCGTATGTATGTTGTTATAATATTAGGCCTATTAGTATTACTATAATAATAATAATATTATTGTTATTATTATTATTATTTTGGTTTATTGCCGTTTTGACTTATTGCCATTTTGATCCATTGCCGTTCTGGTAAAAAAGTGTTGCCGTTTTGACTTAGGCCTACTGCCATTTTGGTTTATTGCTGTTTTGACTAGAAAGCAACCTTCTTAAAAATTTATTGTCCTTTTTGTAATTTGCAATGTACTGTATTACAATCATTTTATGTCTTTTATTCAACAGAACATGGTAGAGTAGTGGAAAGTACCTAAATGAAGATGGAAAAAAAAACAGATAATGATGGACAGGTAAGTTGATCTGATAAGTTATTGTTAGTATTGTTATCATTTTAATTCTATAGTTATCACTGTCAATTGTTGCTCATTAAGCAATTGTTTTTTACTGTAACATATTTCAAATCTCTGAATTTTCAGATAAGTGTTGGCACATCTCACAGATGCGTGTGAAAATCATTCATCCCATCGACCATTGTTGGCTATCAAAGAAGAGAAACCTGTGCTCACA